TCTCTCTCTCTCTCTCTCTCTCTCTCACTCCCTTTATCTCCCTCTCTCACCCCTTTCTCTCTTTCTCTTTCTTTTTCTCTCCCGTCGCTGACGTCTGTAAAGAATGTTACTCTTCACCGTTACAAACAGAAGACCCTGGTTCGTTCCCTGAGAGGGGACGTCATTTTATAGGGCATCTCCGTCGGATTGTTTGGATGTTGCATCCCTCTCCTACGGGGTTGGTCCTGACAGGCAAGGTATAAGCAGCCCGCCCCCTAGTGAAGCACAATAGTGTTGGTTGTGCCAGGAGACACTTTCTATCACGATCAATCTCTTTCACCCTGTTAAGACAAGAGAATTTCCCGTTCGGACTTGTCAACAAGACGATTCACCCAAAAAATGTACCTCTAAACAGATCTGTACCTTCAAAAGTGAACCCATCAAACCCACCCGCCTTATCCGTTTTGTACCTTCTTAAAGAAACACAGTAATAATTTGAATGAAAAACCAATACTTCTTTTGAACAGCAATTTCATCTCTCAAACTGGATTTCTAAGAGGTCGCACAAGACGCTTGTTTCAACAGCTGAGGGCTGGCGAGGGAGAGAGAAGATTAACAGCAACAGCTGCTTCCTCTCTCCGTCACTTTCCGGGCTCAACGGGATAGCTTAGAGTTGAATGTTCTGCTTGTAAACACTTACGATCACAAAGGCAAATAGGAATAAAAACGTGGGGAAAGTTTACAAAAGAAGATTGGGTGTTTTTATAAATTCAAATTGACTAACCGTTAGTGTTCGTGGTCTTGCTGATTTGTTTCTTCTCTTTTCTTGAAATAAGCCGGCCAAGAACCGAAACTAGCTTTCTATTGTGACCATCGAAAGAATCAGCTAAATGAATAAACAAGCTAGAGTAGAAACCACAAGAAGTCCCTAAACATCTACAAATCACACTGAGAATAACATTATAGCACTCCTTTAGCAATATGCTAAATAAATTCTTAGTTCGTTTTCATTAAAGTAATCTTATTCTGCTACAAGCTGAATGAATTCCACGGGGAAGGCGTCTCTATGCTTGTGGTTTTTCTGAAAATCCCCCAAAAGAGAAAGGGAACCCAGAATAATGAGAGATAAAACGACTTCTTTTCTCCTAACGTGCGTAAATGACGGCCGGGGTACTTAGCTCAGGGGAACCTCAGCGGTCAAGGTAACCAGATACTGATCAGACTGGGGGTAGAGTGAGCTTTATTACTCTCCCTTCCCACTCCCCCTCCCCCCACCCTTTCCGCTATCTCTCTTGTTTATCACTTTCTCTCTACGAGTATCACTCTTTCTCTCTGACAATCTGGCATTCGCACACACACACACACACACACACG